CCCAGCCGGTTGAAACCTGCGCTCACATACGAAACGTGTCTGTACACATGCAGGTGAATGCACTACACGATGCCGTGGCGTCTGTATCTCCGAACTCAGACTTCTTCTGGGCGGACGTGGCGCAATTTATGGACAATCGGAGGACGGATGACGAGTGCAAGGAGAAGTACAACTCGTTGATTGGGCCTAGTTAGGAATACAGATTCACACGAAAGTACAGACATGCGTATATGAGTATGCAACTACATAGTGACCACCCATGAAGCTGTGCTTGTCGCTTATATATGCGAGACAATATTCAGTATACCCCATACACGTGGACGTATGGATTGTGAAGCGCAGCTGGAAGGCTTCGAAGGTTTAAGGGGGTGCGGACAGATAATGAACCATCCTTAGAACAAAGCCGTGACATGCAGGCACGTGCGTGTGTTCAGGTCTATTGATCCCAGCGAGCTATGGTACAAGTCCTGCATTACGTTTCACATCAGGCACGTTTTGCAAGCCCCATCACGACATGGCGCCAGTGGGTCCAATAAAGCAAAACATATACTTAGCATGTACGCGTGAACAGTCAAGAGTTTGTATATCAACACGATAGTTTCTAAAGAAGTTCGGTATGTGCGGACCGGTGAACGCTTTTAATAGCGCTAGTACGGTACTAATGTTACGGAATGGGTGCTGTGCTTATAGCTGTATGAAGCAGGACAGAGCATGCAACGCCATGTGACACTGTCCGTGGTTAGTAAGAACGATTCAGTTCATGTACATGCAAGTGGCCTGATACACACAAGTGTTTGTACAGATGCGTTTGTTATATTTTGCGTGTGTAATGAGGACTTGCTATCTTCCGCTATTCGCCGCGACGATTGAACGGGACACCCGCCACATACCTCACAACAGAGTATAATGTGAGCCACTCCAATACAAGAAGAGTATAAATAGCTAACTGTCGCTCTTAAATAATCTGAAACGTTTTCGAACAGCAACTCTCCACCAACATAGCCAAAGGTCAGAATAGTGGTTCAAAACCCATACTTGAATCAGTAAATATACCCGTACTTGGATTGGACCGGTACAGATGCAATAAATAAATACATCCCGATTCTCAAGCTGCTCAACGACTGCTGTAACTGACTAAATACAGTCGAGACGCTGCCGCCGCTGGGGCGTGATGAATACATAGATGTTTGTTCCCGTTTTACTTATGATCTTATTTAATAATGATAATAAAAATAATATTTACGATCCACAGACCACAGGCCACACTCACAGCTAAAACGGGTTTATACTTCTTCGCAAAGGAAACGGGTTGTGTTCAGCTTTTGTGTTCGGGTTCAGGTTTCCAAAAGGACATATAAATAAACGTTAAACCACGACTTTGCGTTTAACTCACCTGTGACGTCATGTATTTAGCCTGGCCCTGAAGCCGGCGTATGATGCCAGAAGTATGTAAATACGTATGTACAGTAGAATTAAAAAAGGCGGGATCTATGCGGAGCTTTTAATTTTTTGGATTTTGGTTTTGGAACTGTTCATCTAACAGTTGCATTTAGAAGACATCAGGAGGCTAAGGTGCTGGCCAATGCAGTGTCACACTATTCATGTGTATTATTATTGATTTTATTGGTATTTATTATCGGTATTTATTTACATATTTACATACTCGAAAGTAGAATCAATAGATGGTGCGTGTGTATTCACTTGCAACCTAGCAAAGCAGCTACGTACAGACATACAAACCAGTATACAGTAACTGACTGCTTGGTCGGAGAACATCATCGTGTAGTGGTTCATATATAACACTTACGTGATATATATATAGTACAGGCTATAAAACACTGCAACAATAGCTAGTACGGAAGTCATGTCGGATAAATCGCATAGAGTACCGCTGGCAACCTCCAACTACGGGTAATGTGAATGCATGAGAGAGAGAGAGTGAGAGTGTGTATGTGTGTGTGTGGCTCCCTCATTTTTTTTTATTGTTTCAGCTATTAGTCTCATTATTTGTCCAGATGATCAAACGTTTTCCTGTGTGCGTGTGGGATTCTTTTTTCAGTTTGTATTCAGTGCTGGTTTGTTTATACTTCCGGATTGCGTATATCAGGTATACGAGGGTATGGTTAGTGCCTCAAAAAGTAAGTGCGGTCTCGTTTGTGAATGTGGTCGTGATATCTTTTCCCCATCTGCATTCCTGAGCGTTTACTATGTACCTCGGCAACAACCTATGCTCAAGCATATCTACATATATATGTTAGAAAGTACGTAGTACCTGATTGTATTAGTCAGAGTATAAGCGTTTATGTAGTTGCGATCGCCGGTTATAGACTGTGCCAGTTTGGCGAACCATATATCATAATCCACATCGTGCTGTTGCATGGGATGTGGCATTACATTTGTCCTGTCCTACCGACGTGCGTCGAAGCTTTTAAACACACTGAGGTAGACCCATGGCCCTGTACGCTCTCAAACAGGTGCACTGGGTGTATGTTTTGTCCCAGAAATATGTACAAATTGATAGGCAAACCAACCAAACAAAGCCGAATGACTAAGGGTTATGTAAACTACAAACCAGCTAGACTAATGTTAAGATGTCCTTGTCGTTCAACAAACTACAAACCAGCTAGACTAAAGTTAAGATGTCCTTGTCGTCAAACAAACCACAAACCAGCTAGACTAAAGTTAAGATGCCCTTGTCGTCAAACAAACTACTAACCAGCTGGACTAAAGTTAAGATGTCCTTGCCGTCAAGCGACCCTTTATTTGCTTTGCGGGATGGTCAAGGCCTTCGAGAAAGTGGGATACAGTACCGTTATATACACACTTCACTACTGCTGTAGGCACACACATATGCGAGCCATCCAATCTGCACTTGTTCTGCACTTTTTTATTACGCGAAGGCTCGTGGCCTCGTAGTAGCTACTACACAAGCGGATGGTAGATGCACTTATGATCAAATGCCATAGAATCCGTATCATTTGCGGAAACATCTGCGTCCATTCATTTATAATATGTACACACGTAAACTCACCGCAGTGCTTGGATTCCCACAGACCTAATGCCCCGCCAGCACCCATGAAGCCATCTCTGAAGACCGACAAACGCACAGCAAGCACAGTAACTCCACCGCAACCATCGTATGTGCTGTTACAGATATATGTATATATATATATATATATATATATATATATATATATATATATATATATATATATATATATATATATATATATATATATATATATATATATATATATATATA